TGATTGTTTTATGTAATTGCTCACCCACACCTGCATTATAAATAATTCTTTAACAGATGTATAGGGTGTGAAGTGTTGGGCATGATGGTTTTCCAGGGGTGTGTCCTTTCATTTTTCTATATCTGTATGTATATGTGTATATATTTATACACACACGGAAACATCTGATCAGATCAAAATGTTTAGGATTTCTTTGTCTGCTCAGACCTTGTGGTTTGAACATGCTTTTCTGTAAATAGCAGGACTGGTGTTCAAGGGGAGCTCTATTTCTGTTTTAAGGGGCGTAATGGGGAATTACAGCCATTATTGATTAAAGCATAAGTGTGTGGAAGAAAGGGCAGTGACTCACACTTCTTCGCCCCATCCAAATTTAGTAAAGCTGACAGTCTCTTAAAAAAGTATATCTTCATGTAAACTTGTTTTTCCTTTTTTTGTGTGTGTGTTTGGGATGGTTTGAGCAAATGAAACAGCAAAACTAAGAAAAATCCATTTTTCTTGGCACAGGCATTGCTTTTGAGATACAGTTTCTGAATTGTGAGTTCTGGGATTGTTTAAATCTGAATAACAGGTTCTCATTGGAATTAGAAGTGAAGTAAAACAACTTACAAATAATTTTTAACACAGAAATGTTCGTGGTATAGTCTTGATCCTAAGCTGTGGCCACTAAGTGATATTTTGTATTTAACCCATAGAGAAGTGTCAGTGAAATGCCACAGCAAATGTTCTTATTCTTTTCACTGAAGTGGGGTGTATGTGTGTATGTAGACTAAGGAGGAAAAACATAGATTAGTCTTTTTATTTTATGTGTGTGTGTCTATATATACGTACACATATATACTGCACCATATATATGTTAGGTACCTTTAAAGTATTTACAAATATAAATGTTGCATATATACATAAGCACGTGATCCTGTGCCAATGTAACAAAATAATGTTTTTGTGAACTGTAACCAAAGCAGGGTAGATAATTTCCACCAAGGCCCCACACTTGCAGCGGTTAGCCTTAGGTGCTTGTTCTAGCTGAGCACCTGAACAGCTCTCAGAAGTTGTTGAGCACATCCCCTACAGCTTTGCAGCATCAGGGTCCAGCTGTATAATCATTGGTTTAATACAAACTTCTGTAAGCTAAAGAGCATCTGTAAGTCTTTCTGTATTTCCTCCTACTGTTTTACAGCTGGTCTGAATATATTTTTTTTCTTAATGGTCACACAATTATGAGTGGTTGAAACAATGTAGTGCTTGCTATTTTTTTTCTTTTTATTGGAAATCAATGAGAGAGACCACTTCTAAATTAGGTCTGTGTATCTGTGCTATAAATACACTTACTGTGCTTTGCTGTTCTGCAGACAACTGCAAATCTAGGTGGCTCTTCAATTAAAAGAAGTGTGTTTGGAACCTAATGATCTTTTGGTCATTCTAAATTTTTTTTTTATTTTTGTTTCTTTTATTTGTGAAGAATAAAGTGCAATTTGTAGTATTTAGTCTTGTGTTGGTCATAAATGGGAATGGAAGTACCTACCTCCTTGGTTTCATTCCAGAACATGTGAACTCCCATTTATGTGAACTATATTGAACAACTGGGATCATTATGGTCAGAGCTGACAGGTTTTTGTCACTGTCACTGGATGAGGGGATCGAGTGCTCCCTCAGTAAGTTTGCAGATGACACCAAGCTGGGCGGGAGTGTTGATCTGCTCGAGGGTAGGAAGGCTCTGCAGAGGGACCTGGACAGGCTGGATCGATGGGCCGAGGCCAACTGTATGAGATTGAACAAGGCCAAGTGCCGGGTCCTGCACTTTGGCCACAACAACCCCATGCAGCGCTACAGGCTTGGGGAAGAGTGGCTGGAAAGCTGTCCGGAGGAAAAGGACCTGGGGGTGCTGGTTGACAGCCGGCTGAACATGAGCCGGCAGTGTGCCCAGGTGGCCAAGAAGGCCAATGGCATCCTGGCCTATATCAGCAATAGTGTGGCCAGCAGGAGTAGGGAAGTGATCGTGCCCCTGTACTCGGCCCTGGTGAGGCCACACCTTGACTACTGTGTTCAGTTTTGGGCCCCTCACTACAAGAAGGACATTGAGGTGTTAGAGTGTGTCCAGAGAAGGGCAACGAAGCTGGTGAAGGGTCTGGAGAACAAGTCTTATGAGGAGCGGCTGAGGGAACTGGGACTGTTTAGCCTGGAGAAAAGGAGGCTCAGGGAGACCTTCTCGCTCTCTACAACTACCTGAAAGGAGGTTGTAGCGAGGTGGGTGTCGATCTCTTCTCCCAAGTAACAAGCAATAGGACGAGAGGAAATGGCCTCAAGTTGTGCCAGGGGAGGTTTAGATTGGACATGAGGAAAAATTTCTTGACTGAAAGAGTGGTTAAACATTGGACCAGGCTGCCCAGGGAAGTGGTTGAGTCACCATCCCTGGATGTATTTAAAAGACGTGTAGATGAGGTGCTTAGGTACATGGTTTAGTGGGCATGGTGGTGTTGGGTTGACGGTTGGACTCGATGATCTTAGAGGTCTTTTCCAACCTTAATGATTCTATGATTCTAAAATGAACGTGAACGTAGCATGGTTTCATTCAAACATTTTTCTGAACCTGGACAGTAGTTCTCTGTAAGTGCCATGTATAGAATGTGAAGTCTCAAAGTGGGCTCCCTTAAAATGTGTAAGTTTCTTAAACTTTTTCTTTTCTCTTGTGCATCCCTTAGGTTGAACTTCAAGATGTCCTTTGGGAGAGATATGGAGCTGGAGCATTTTGATGAGCGTGATAAAGCGCAGCGATATGGCAGAGGGTCCCGGGTGAATGGTTTGCCCAGCCCTACTCACAGTGCCCACTGCAGCTTTTACCGAACCCGTACTCTGCAGACCCTGAGTTCTGAGAAAAAAGCCAAGAAAGTTCGTTTCTATCGTAATGGAGACCGGTATTTCAAAGGAATTGTATATGCCATCTCCCCTGACCGGTTTAGATCCTTTGAAGCTCTCCTGGCTGACCTGACCCGAACTCTGTCTGACAATGTGAATCTGCCCCAGGGAGTGAGAACAATCTACACGATTGATGGCTCCAAGAAGATTTCCTCCTTGGACCAGCTAGTAGAAGGTCAGCAGTAAGATTTGGAGGTGTAAAGTTATGTTTGAGTCAGTGTTTGCTTGTCTAATCTGCTAAGTCTTCCACAAATAGGTAATGGTATTGTTGTTCTTATTGATAGAGAAAGGATCTTCGATGGGATAACTAGAATTGTGAATATCTTAAATTGTGCCATGAAATATTTTTGCCTTGCTACTTATTTCCCTCTTGTTGAAAGTGTCTGGCCTTTCCCTTTCTGTTAACCTAGTGAAGATTGCATCTGCTGCTTCTTTTGAACTTGCATATTTAAAAATGCCAGTGAGAGTTTAGTCAGTTAAACTTGACAAAGTCTGTGGTGCTGATGAAACCTACATGAAATTCAGTTCTGATGGGTTTTCTTTTTTTTAAGTCTGTCTGTACCTAGTGAAGAGCTCCAACTCTTCCTACAAGTAAGTATGCCTTAAGTAAAATACTCGCCTCTCATGGAAGTGGCATAAATGTAGGCAACCTGTTAAAAGAGTAATGCTGTAGCCATGGTTCAGCTGGGGTAGATTGTAAACTTTTCTCCACTGCAGCATTTCCTTTTTCCTCTTCCCCAGTCCATTGGCATCCTTACGTTGTTTTTAAATAAGGCTCATGTACCTGCAGTATAAAGCACTACCAGTGATTTTGTCAGAAGTGATGGGTCTTGGTCACTGTCAGACATTGGAGATGCCAGTTGCTAATTTGCCCATTGACACTGAATTTATCACTCCTTCAGTGATAGTTTTGTTGGCAAAAGAAGCTGTCAGCATTAACCAATTTGAATATTAGGCCTAGGATATCAATAATACCTTTTACAAGTTTTACAAATAGCTGAAGTAGCTTTTCCATCATAAAGCGTTTCTGGCTTGCAGTAGGTTTCTTTTTGTGTGTGTAGGCAATAGCTCCCAGTATAAAACATCAGAATGTATAAGGTCTGAAAGCATTAACTAGCACATGGCCGTAACTGAGGTTGTTTTTTATCTGTAAAGTTTAAATTCAGGTCCTTGACTGTGTTCAAAGAAAATAAAGGTGGAACAATTTTTTCATCATTGCTTCCATCTTGCCCCTGGCCCCAGTATGCCACGGGCAAACCCATAAAGCATGGGTCTATAGCCACTGGACAGCCAATTTAGAGTTGTAACAGAGATTGTAATTTCTTTATGATTTTCATTTTTAGCATCAGGTGAGAGAACTTGCAGTATCAGGATGTAATGAGAGGATCAGAAGGTGGCTAACATGGGGAGACAAGAAAAGGGTAATGCCGAATAAGGTTCCTGAAAGAGGAGCACTTCTTTGCATAGCAGGTGTTCAGCCACCATTGAGTTGTCTCCTTTAAGTGTCATAGCAGAGGAAAGCTTTTTAAGGAGAAGTTTTAAGAAGAGGATATTCTTGATAATCCTCCTTGCATAAAAAGGAGAGTAGGAGTCAACATGAAAATGCTCAAAAAGAATATTGAAGTGGTGGGATTGTCCATGTAAGTAAGGGTTTTTGGGGTTAGGACCATAGGTTTAGTGAAATGGAAAGGAAACTGGTCTGAATTCCAGGGCAGAGTTAGAGCTGTGTTTGTCAGGACAGTATTTAATTGGTGGAGAAAATCAATTTCTGGGAGGAAAGACCAATATTAATCAACATCTGTTTAAAAGCAGTGTTTGTGCATTTTCTTCTCAGTAGTGGTATAAATAATTGTGCTTATTTGATTGGTATGCTCATCAAGAAGCAAGTGTCATTGATGTTAATGTTGATTTGCAGTCTTCTGCTGCCAGTCAGAACCAGCTTTTGAAAAGAAAGAAGTGAATGCAGAAATAAATTCAGCAACCTATAAGATTGGTTTATTTTGGCATCCTAGAGAAGAATAATACCAGTTATAAATCAGTCAGTCAAAATGAATGACAGTACAAGAGCATAAGTTTATTTTAAAGAAGGGCTTTGGGATTTCTTTTAGTTCTGCGGCACTTTATTCCCTACCTTTTCAATGAACACATCCTCTCTTCCTGTGCATAGTTCAAGTTGGACGGTTTTATTTTCTTGTGCTATTAACACTGTGGGATTTACAGAAGTCAGTCTTTGTGTGCAAGTAGAGAGCTACATCCTTGTTCCACCTGAAAGGGGGCTTCTGTCTATTAGTATAAAGCTGCAAGGTGGGTTATTTTGTTCTGTTTCCCTCCTAGAGCTTCACTGTAGAGTACAGGTTCATATATTATTAGCTCAGTGATGGTTTTTACGTAAGCCCCTTCCACTATTTACTGTACAAATTTATTAGAGTTTGGCTAGTCTGGTACAGCATTAATTAGCTTGAAGCTGTGCTTTGTGTTTAAATAGCTGGAAAATCACTTGATTTTTGCCTCTTGCCAAATGACATTTGTGCTCAAACTATTGAAATACAAAGCATTGCTTTCTTCATGGTGAGACTATTCCTTTACTGTATGAATTCATTTAATGAGACTGTTATGCATTTAGATGATATTTTTTTTCTTTTTTTGGGCATTGATTTTAGTGATTGTGTTGTAAGGTAAATGTGTAAGGCCTTGATTTGGTGGTGTTTTTTTGCCTTTATGCCTGTGAGGAAGTTACTGTACTCTTACCTTCCCATATGGTACATGAAGGCAGAGAAGCAACTAGCTCCTGGGGGAAATACGACAGCAGCCACTCTCATTCCAGAGCTAAATACATGGAACTGCATGAAAGATAGTCCCAAAGGAAAAAGACTGTAAAGGAGCTGTTTTGCTTCAGTAGTACTTAGTTCTGTCCTGCATACAATTCGGAGCTGGCATGGCTGTATGCTGGTGCTGTAGGTTATTTTGAGGTGCATGGGCATATCTTCCCTTTATTTGAAACTAATTACTTCCCTAGGGGTTTTGGGTTTTTGTTTGGTTGGGTTTTTTAAGACTTGGGGCATATGAGACTTGTTGGAATTTGATAACAAGGGGTACTACTGTTGTAAAAGTTTCACACGCTCTATAACTTCTCTTCTCCTGTCACCTTAGATGAAGGAAAGAACGCAATGGATTCAGGTTACCTTCTTTTTGTCAGACCTGATGTTCAGGACCCTCCTACCTTCAAAGAATGGTTTCCAAATGTGACCTGACTTTATTTCCTAGGTGTGACATGTAATCAAACATATAGAAGGCCTCTTAAGACTAAATTGTCTAGCTGTAAACAAAGTCTCAAGAAAGAACTAAATGTCTCTTGCTTTTCCAGAAGTGTACCATCTTTAAAGCTGAAGGCAGAGGTGGACTGATGGGTCTTATCCCCAAAATTACCATTGAACAGTGTAACATGAACAGTAATAGACTGGAATGAGCAGGATAACTCTGAAACAAAGAGTATTATGTACAGTTTTTACTCCTGGGGTCCTGCTATGTGGAACAAAGACCACAGAATCAATCCATAGCCAGAACTGCATCCCTTTCTTATTAATTTTTGTTATATTATTACCTCAGAGTCTTGGGTATGTACCAGAATAAATTGTTTTAGGTTTCCACAATACCTACCACAAAAGATGAACCCTGCAGCAGAGAACTGGCAGACAAAGACAAACCAAAAACACCAAACCATAAGGCTGAGAGAGTATTGGGAAACAATATTGTCATATGACAATATTGGGTGCACTGCCAAACTATTGTAAAGGCTTGTATGTGTTTGTGCACATTTTGTGTAGGCATAATGGCAAAAATAGTTTTAAGGAATAATCTGAAAAAGAAAAATGAATGTTTCTTGGGGATTATCTTGGAGCTGCAGTCCTCATTGAAGGAGCAGTTTGAAAGAGCACAGATATACCAGTTTTAAAATCTGGTAGTGGCTGTAACTGGCTAGTAACTCTTGGGAGATGTGAACCTCACTGCAGTGGCAGAGGAGATGATGGGTCACATGAGGACTCCAGGAAGGCTCTTGCAAGTAGAGGCAGGCAGTTTGTGTTCGATGCAGCAGAGAAGCTGCCTGCCAGTGGACGGTTCAAAAGGTGGCGTCTCCTTACTGAAGTGGTGGGCTGTGACAGAGTTCCTGACTTTTTTTGTATGTGGGTCTTGCTACTCCCACTGTCACCTCATTCCTCTTATCTCAGCTTTTCCCTCTCCCACCTGCTACTACTGCTTCTTCCTTGACTCTGCCACCTGCTCTGGTGGTGCTGGTGAGAAGCCCAGCCAGGCCAGACTGTAGGAATTGATTGACATGGTTTCTGATGTACTCTGGAGCTAATGGTCTTTCTTCTAAGTCGTTCCTACCTCAGCAGCTGGGAACTGATGGGCTGGAAAGATTCATATGCATATGTAATATGCTATCAAAATAATAATAGTAAAGTATCTGTTTAAATGTTTGTAGAGCTGAACCTATTGTGGACATTTGTTCATAGGATTGAATTTACACTGGATGTTTACCATGGACTTGATCCAGGGCTATCTAAGTTAGTGAAACTTGGACTGGATCCTGTGGCAGAAATGCCTGCAATCCTTATATTGTTTAATAAACAAACAGCTGAATAATCCTGTTGCATAAAATGGTAGAGGGTTGTTTTGGCACTGTTTATTTGGTTATTTTATTTCATGAATTTGAGAAGACTCATCCGTTAGCCAGTTGACTCACATTGTGTCTTCCTTAACAACTTCTTAGAACGTCCCATGCTTTCTTATTCTAGGTGCTTTCCAGTTGTTTTTTTTAAGCGTGTGCAATGCCTATCTTGCTTGTAGCAAGACTGTGGAAATTGGGGGGGGGGGGGGGGGGGGGGGAATTTGGGGGAGGGGCAGAGGCGAGGAAGTATGTCTTTATTTTTTCACTTGGCTTTTGATGAGGGGGAAAAAAAAGAATTTTTAGTCTGAGCTAAGCAGAAAGAATCATGTGCGAAAGAAGTCCTTTAAAAGGTCCGAGGAGATCTGATTTAAAGTTTCAGGTGCATCTGATTGCTAGGTGAACATGGGTAGGTCAGATTTATTTCCTGTAGATGCTCCATCTCTTTTGCACTGTTGCTTTTTTTTTTTTTTTCAGACACTGCAGAAAGACAAGGCAGCAGTAATGTA